GCAAATAAATTTGCTCACCAGACGACGACGAGACATAGAAGAGGTGTTTGACGAGCCAAACACGGTCTATGCAAGGAGGAGCGCCCACGTGCCGTGACGGCACTTTGTCACGCGATCGCGCGCTAATAGCTCTTTGTCTCTCTTCCTCCACACTCACCTCACAGCATGCTCGCAGTTCCTGCAGCTGCTTTTTCTTTCACACCCACCCACCATCCCTTCATTTGTTTCCTTTCCATTCCTCTCTCTTTTATTTATTTTTTGTTCTCGTCCTTACTGTACAAGTCCTCGTGTAGTGTTTGGTCCGTGTCTGCTGCCACAGGAATCGCGCAGTCGTCTGCCGCTTCTCTTGCTCAGCATGGTCCTCGCTTTAGGCCGCAAATAAATTTGCTCACCAGACGACGACGAGACATAGAACGATATTCCCTCGGGCCTATTTCTTAATTTCGACCAAACCCAAGTGGTATACGCACCAGGGACTGGTCTGACGTGGGCAGAGCGTGGATAAAAACAGGTGTCCGTTGTCGGAGTCGAGGAGAAACGGGCATTTACATTAGTCGTCATTGTCGCGAATGACGGGAGTTTCAAGTCATCTATGATGGGCTCACTGATCGTTCTTTACCCAGCAAAATGTCCGAGGCTGCGCGGAACTCGCCGCCATCGGCACCAAGTTTGTTTTCTCCGGAACCGACACCTACTGGTCGAATCAGGTCACGATGAAGTCATTGTTTAGAGATAATATCGCTCCGTATCTTCAGGAGAAGAAAAGCAAACTCGGCCTCCCTTCAAACCAGAAGTCGGTAGTGTCGATGGATCTCTGGAGGGTTCACCGTTCCAAAGGGCTCCAAAAGCAAATTATCCAGACATCATCGTCGATTTCGTTCCGGGGGCTGTACAGGCAAATTTCAGCCTTGTGAAGGAAGGAAGGAAGGAAGGATGTATTACTGCGGTGGTCCCACTAAGGAACAAGCAGGTTCTGTACCGACATACAAGACATCCAGATTGTATGCTACAGACGTCAACGGCTCTTTCGCTGTGAAAACCTATCTACCTTAGGTAATAGACCTCTCACGAAGAGAGCTGAGAAGACGGGGAGGCAAGTCAGCTATCCGGAATTCGGAAATTTACGGGGAGGTGGAGAGTTGCACCGCATTTAATGTACCAACTAAGTTGTGGTGCAGTCAAACAATGTGATTGTTTCCTTCCTTCCAACTGTAAGCGCCGTGGAACTGCTTTGTGCTTTGTGCAAGCACAACCACCCCTGGCTGCGCTAAATTTCCGTGAATAGGACTGCAAGGAATGAGGTGTGAACCTGTCCGAGTAGCCAACATAGGATGAGAGATATATCATCCCCATTATCTTCCTTAACAGTGCTGTGTCGGCTCGGGAGCGAGTTCGCATCGGAGAAGAGGTGACAATTATATGGAGCCACATCAAGCCGGAGTCATTCTCGCATGGGCAGCGAGGGAATGGCATGTTGGTTTAGGCTCGAGATTGCTGTTCTCTCTTACATATTTGGACGCTTTGATGGCACAGTGCCTTGCAAGGACATTTGTGTGGACAGACGTAGACCAAATACCCCGTCTTGAGTGCGGAGCAACCGAATCCCGATCCCGACTAGAGACATTATGTTCCGCATGCACACTTCGAACTGGGTGCCCATTTGGGTGCCCATTTGGCGAACGTCAAACCTGGATCAGCTGCCGATGAATATTTCAAAGTTGAACTTGTTCATCGTCCCAATCTGTAGGGCTCAGAGGCGAAGGGAGTGGCCCGAAGATTAGGCTTGCGCCCCCTGGACTAGAGTCGGCCTATTCCAAGCCAGATAGGGGCAGGGGCAGAGGCAGGGGTAGTGGCTGTGTTTTTCAGGAGGTGACGTAAGACATTGCTGCTCGCCGTCCGATACAACCCGAAGACGCAGCCGAAATGTGGAATTTGAGCTTTCAGCGTCGGGGAAAGACAGACGCGTATTGGGAATCCCACTGTCACTCTGCACTTCGACGGCTGGCAGTGCTCGACCGTTCTTCGCAGGAAAGTGTAGGATTTTCAAATCTGGGGTGACGCCGGTGGCCATGTGTGTGTCAAATATGGTTGGACTGTGTCTCTGGTGCTACTGCTGAGTTCACTGCGCCTCTGAGCAGTGTTCGTGGTCAATCGTCTCTTTGCAGGTTGGCATGGTGGTGGTGTGATGTTGCGATCAATCGACCACTCAAACATTCTGTACGACGATCGTTTCACCAGGATATGGTTGACGAAGTACGCGGGCAGATGCGGGAGGCAGAGAAGAACAAGGAACCACTTACGGTAACCTTCGATCGTATGAAGAAGAATATGTGTAACCAGAGCGTCGGATGGTTATGGGATGCATATCAAACAGTCAACGATGAAACGCTGGTAAAGAAAGTGAGTCAAACTTTTACCTGTATGTTATAGCGACCTCGCTTCCAAAAGGCCTTCGAAGCATGCCCTGCAAAGCAATGGGACTTGTAATGCCCTGTTACTATCGTATTTGAGGCTGGATAAATTTTCCCGAGGAGTGAGAGCCAAAAAGAAAAAGAACTTTCGAGCCAGAAACCCCTGCATAAGCTCTGTTGGAAATTACATAGTGTTTATATTGGCAGGAAATGCGATTCGTTTGGCCGCTAGGTTTCTCAAGGGGCGGTGGCAAAAGAAATGGCCTGAAGGAGATTCTAGACCCAGCCCGGACTCGAACTAGGAACACCTCACAAACACGCTGAATATTGCAAGATTACAGCCTGCGGGTGCGATTCATTTCATCACTGGGTCTTCTTCTGCCTTCTACTCTATACCTTCTATCTGTTCTGTTTTGAGGAGGCGAGCTCAGAGAGCAATCAAAGAGCAATTTCCAAGAACGAACTTCGGTTACACGTGACACCCAGGCCCGGGCTTGATTCGAAGGAATTCGCCAAATCAACGCCAAATCCAACATCCGAGCAAGGAAAGATCCATGGCCATGGCTACAGAGGTGAGTTATTTAGCTTGTTCGATTACTTATACAAGCTTACGCATTCACGGACTGGAACGGAAAAACAAAACCAAAGGCGTAAAGTAGTCTCTTATAAACAGACGCTACAACAATATGGTGCTCATACCTCGCATGTTGTAAGTACGATTTGTGACGTCATAACCCCTAACCGAATATGTACCTCCACAGTCGTCTCTCGAGGTACTTATATATTCGACTTAGGTTGTCGTTGGGCTCCAATCACCGCCCTCTCGCCTGAATGTCATCAACCAAAGCTCCTCAAAAGATTGACTATGCCCAATTTTCTGCGGAAGGCTAGTCGCCGCCGATTGGGGGATCCATATTTACCTTCAACCGCACGCTGACTTGTGTTATGGCGCAGATACCGCTAAGATGGAGGAAGTCACTGGGGTCCCGGCCAAAGCTATGCTCTCGCAATCCGGACTGCTCCCAACCCTGCCGAAGAACGCGGTGATGCTCGACAATGCTTGCGGTGGCGGCGTTTTGACCTCGCTCCTGTTCGACGCCATTGGCAAGACCAGCGATATCCGCGTGGTCTGCGGAGATCTGGAAGAATACATGGTGAAGAGTGCAGCTGAGCGGATCAAGGTCAACGGGTGGAACGCTGAGGCGACCGTGGCAGATGCTCAGGCAGGTGAACCAATGCCTGTATCGTGCGCGCGCACTGATTCTTTGTAGGCTCTCCCTTTCCCGGATAACCACTTCACGCACAATCTCATGAGCTTCGGAATACAAGTTATCCCCGACAATGCGTTGGTCGTTAAAGGTTCGCATACTCTTGATTCCACACCCAATTCAGTTACAACCTTTGTCTGATTATCAACATCAACAGAGTCATTCCGCGTCCTCCAGCCCGGCGGGAAACTCGGAATGACCTCCTGGACCGCACCAGGCTGGCTCGAATCGTTCAAAATCGCCGTCCCCGGATTCGTCGTACCCCCTATCTTCACCACCGGGCCCATGGCATCCAAGGAACCCATCATCAGCCTCCTGGCAGCCACAGGCTTCGTCAGCATCGTCGTGGAGCCAATCGCCTTCGAGCACACGGACAATATTGGGAGATACCTGAATTATATGAAGCGGGTTGTCGCGCAGCTCCTGGTGGGGGAGAAGGCCGAGAAGTACGAGGCGTACATGCGTGAGCGGTATGGGAATGGAGATTTTACTTTGACGTGGAAAGCGCTTGTGATCACAGCAGAAAAGCCATAGAAACAACCTCGCCGTAAAAAGAACGAGATGTAACATCCCCGATCACTAATTTGTAGCTCATACGTGGCGTAGTTCAACCTATGCCCTCGCGACTTTTTAACACGTAGATTGTTTCTCCCCTCCCAGAATCCAACTCGATTGCAACAACTAAGCACAACATCCTGTCCGAATATTCCGTCGGTCACTTGTGAGTGGATTTCATTCCGCCTTGAAATAAGTGTTTGCTTGCCCTTCGCGGCGTCGCCCTTCGTTTCTGTAGGGAGTGAGGCGCTGTCTAGGAGGAGCCAGACGAAAAAGCCGCGACGAATCAGTTCGATGTCCCTCGTTAGCTTTTGTGAGTGTTGTATGAGCGATTATGTTTCATCCATGTCTCTGCGGAATGCAGTGGCAGGAGCGAAAAAAAATGGAGAGGATGGAGACAGAACGGCGTATGTCAGGTGCGGCAGCTCAATTCTGTCCCTAAAGAGGCACGATATCGATCGCATCTGTTCGGCCCGTCGGTTACCTACCCTGCAGTTTCTGGGTTTCTCTGAGCTCAGAGAGTTTGGAGAGTGTTCTTGAGACTTCCGTGGTCCCAGATATTCATGTTAATGCCTGTCCCATTGCCTAGTATTTTACTGCGAATTTTAAACCGCATTTCTGGAGGTTAGGTGACCACTGTGAGAGGTGTCGGCGGAATATATATACGCCCATTTTCATCTTCAAACTAGGCATGACCACCTACATCACCGGAGTACGTCCAAAGGTTCCATAAAAGTAAGAATTCATCCAAAAAAGAAAACCGAACCGACCCAGCCTGGATTCGAACCAGGAGCTCCCGTGCAAACCTTGAAAGCCATAACCGGCTACGGGTGCGATACGTTTCACCACTGGGTCATTGGCTACCTTGCTATCATTGATTAATGCGGAAGTGGGTTCGATTCCCAGGAGGCGGGAGCAAAACAGAAACCAAGACAAACCCTGACAGTTATACGAAAGACTGGGTGCCATACCATTCACCAGTACGTCTCTATGCTACTCACGACTTGACGAAGAACGGGAACAAAAAATCAGTTCCGAGCCACCGACGACAGACGACCCAGCAAGAACATCCCGCCAACGTCAGCTTGGATCCATAGGATGGGAGTGCGCTTCACTTCCCCACTGGGTCGTCTTCCCACTCATTCACCGGTTCGAGGCCGAAGAGAACAAAAAAATGACCAAGAAAATCCAAATGACGCGATTGAGATGGAACTCCTGAACCTCGGTTCAGAGAACCTTCCTTGATTGCGGGTGTGATATCTTCTGGTGCGACCCTTCGGTCACCAGCTCAGGGGGCAGTAAAACCGATTCCTTTCGCCATACACCGTTTCCCGGCAAGTTGCGAGTCCCTCTTGACAAGCAAGTTGCTTTACTCACCGTAGATTATTAGAAGAACAGTGACCACAAACCATTTCGTCCAGCCTCTGTACGCGCTATGAGTGTCGCCATCTAACGGCGTTCCGTCCGATGCGTCATTCCCGCAATGTGCCGTTGTCCCTGATGAACACGTAGATGGGCTCCGCAAGATCGTCACGGTTTTGGAGTCGGTTTGCCAAGGTTTCGAGTGAGCATGGTCATATGGTCGAAATAGGCATTAAATTCCGCAGGTCTTCGCAAGCAGTACTTACTATCCGCGTTGTGAGAGAATACAAGAACGGAATATTATTGCTTCTGTGCTGAGATGGGACCTCTGCTGGCAGTAGTTTCGAATTGTCCAGGACATTCGATTCACACACTGCATGTATACCGAGCTGTCCGAGTTGTCCAGGCAACTGGCGTATACCTGGCGGCGGCCGCCAATACATACCCCCCCTGGCTGGTTGTCGCACCCGTAGATTATAGCTGAGAGAATAGAGATTAGGGCGTGGGGTTCAATTGAATGGAGGAACATCAAGCATGGCCATTGTGGCGTGCCACCGGCGTCGATTGGAAGAAGCGTCGAGTTATTTGTGGCTATTTGCAATGATTTCTCACGGCCTCTTTGCGACCCACCATGACCCTCTTCATAGAGCGACGACCTACGACGACTTCAGTTCTTCCCCGGCTACAAAACCTCCATTGACATGTGCAATGCCTTCTTCGCACAAGTTTGACACAAGTAGGCTCGGAGTCTTCTCCGCGGTTCTCCGAGGTCTTCTGATTTTCGCGGGAGCCGTCGTGGCTGCGCGATCACGTCGCGCAATCAGAGCAAAGCTCGAAGAAAGGCGAAATATATTGTTTACCTCGGGAAAAATCAATCATTGCCGTGTTGATGATCACTTGGGTTGCAGTGAACAGCCCAATGCATTGAAACGCGCTCCAGCCCTGGTCGACTAAAAAACAATCCGTCTTTCTACATCGGCAGACGCCGGCTTCCTTTCAGGCAGAGTGGCTTAAACAAACCTTTATCGAGAGGAGGAGGAAGAAAGAGGGCGTAATTAAACCCCAATGGCCCCATTGAGGAAGATGCGGCACAAATGCGGCAGAAGATCAGACAACGCAGCTTCGCAACTTCTCACGCGCCCGTGCTGAGAATGTCATCGCGGGATCCATATACTTATCACCACCGAACCACTCCCACAACAATCCTACTTCCCGCTAAAACGCGGGCCACTCAGCAGATCCCAAGCCGTGCCCATGTCTTGCCCCACCTTCGAAGTCGGTGACACTCTTGGTTTGGCCCCCTGTCCTTGCACGCTTTCTTTCACCTTTGACACCGTCGCAGGAGCTCTGTTAGTCGGCACGCTCATCTCATATGCGCTTTTTGGAGTCGCCACCATTCAGGCGTATATTTATTATGGCCGCTTTCCCAAAGACTCCGGCAGGATGAAGACTTTGGTATGTCAGACGTCAGTTCCTCGACATAGCTTGACACATTTCAGGTTGCCGCTGTCTGGTATGTTGATTACACCACTCGCTCCGATACATCTTGGACCTCTTTCTACCAGGTGCGGGGAATTTGCGCACACAGTCTGCATTGCCATATCGCTATATAACATGATCATCACCAACTTCGGCCACCCGGAAAACCTAAAAGTCCTTCCCCCCTCTCTGCTGGCTTCCGCATTCATAGGAAGTTTGGTTTCATTTACTGGTGAGCCGAGATCGACATCGTTATTCGCCCCTTAATGACTTCAACAACTCGCAGTCCAGATGTTCTTTACCTTCCGGATATACGCCCTATCGAAACATCTCTTCATCCCGCTGATCTGCGCTGCGCTGTCGTTATTCCGACTCGTTCCTCCGAACGTCATTGTCCTCGGATTCGGCACCAGCCAGCCCGTCCCAATATTCCTAAAGCAATGGGGTAAGCTCTTCGACGCCATCTGGGCCGCCAGTGCGGTCAACGATCTCTTGATTGCTGGGACCTTGGTCTATTTGTTGTATCAACGACGCTCCAACGTATTAGAGAGGTCAGTTCAATGTTGCTGTACTTCCACGGAGGGACTGACTTGTTTCCAGGACTGCTGCAATTGTTGATAAACTGATTGCATGGACCATAGGTTAGTGAAGGATTTATAACTCTTCCGCTGGCCTGGTCTGACGTGCTACAGAAACTGGTGTGGTGACAAGGTTCGTTTCTGCACAATTCATCGCTCTGGTCCAGACCGTCTAACCAACTTGTAGCATCGCGAGTATCATAATGATGATTGTCGTACGTTTTTTTTTCCGCCCCACCAGTTGAGTATGACATTGAACATTATTTCTTAGTTTATAACGCTGCCGTCCACTTGTAAACAATTTCACCCACACCCCGTAGACCATACTAATTCTCTTTTTGACAGTCATCTGGATGGCGTGCTTTGTGGTGATTCCACGGCGTGAGTGTCATATATCAGTCGACGTCAAGGATGTAGTCTCTAACAAATGGATGCATAGTATTCTCCAATTCCCTTTTTGCCAGGTAAGCGTTGAAACCCGCACTAATGACCAGCATCATTAATATGCACAGCCTTAACTCCCGTGCGGCTCTCCGGAACGAACAGCCCAGGCTTCCCTCGCACTCCAACCCCGGGGTACGAGAAATTTTAATGCGATTTAGCTCATAGTTCTGACCACCCGTTACGGATAGGTGACCACGCTTCCCAGGCCAATACATCCTGTGAATCTCTCGATAGAAATGAACAAGGTTACTATGACCACCTACGACTGACATGGGTTGCCCGGTTTCTTTCTGTACACTTCATCTGTGGCGATTTCCGCCGCTAGCCGGTAGACCACTTGTTTGTATTTAAATGTATCGTATTTGTGGAACGCGAGATGTGTAACGGTAGCGACCGCATGACCTTTACGTGTCTTTGACCTGACACAGAGAGCCATATATAACCCTTGAGAATTGCGCGGAAGGTCTTATGATTCAGTGCCGCATTGATCCTGCCACGAGACGGAGTCGGGCTTCGATCAGTGTGAACGGCGCCTGAGAAACGTTTCACGCCAGCTCCCTGTGCGTAGCGGGGTTCTGGCGCCTAGTGAGGCCACCGATCTGTTGCGTTACCCTCTGATCGCGAGAAGCTCAAGAGCGATGTTCCGCGCCCCGAGCCTGCAGAGCGTCGCAGGGATTTGCCTCTACCATCTCGGGTACATCCAGAGAGCCATGTCGATTCTAGATAATGGCCGTGAGTGACTCATGACCAGAACTCCAAGCTGCCGACGCAGGCAGTTCGACGGTTTTCTTCAAGTTTACTTTAGCGCAACTTAAGCGACTCCGATGGACTGCTGGCGGGCCCGGGGCGGCAAAGACAAGAATTTACGTGTCATTTCAACTAAAATTTGAACAGGGATGTGCTGGAAGCGAAAAACGCGTCGCGACGGTTTGGTGGAGGAGAAAACGATGGCGCGCTGTTTGGCTCTGTGTCGCGGATCAGCGGCCCGCAACGCGTTGATTGGACACGTGGCTATCTGTAAGACCGCTTTTCTGTGAAAAGCTTTCTTCTTCCTTCCTTTTCACCATTGACGCTTTTAGAACTTCTCTGTTCAGCCCTGTTTTTTTACAACAAAGTTGCTGTGAGCTTATTTAATTAATCTTCTTCTTCTCCGTTGTCTTACAGCGTTCTCGCAACCTCAGGCTGTCGACGCGAAAACAGCGACGCTACTTGGCCGCTACTGTTCTTGCTCCCAGTGGGTACACTCGCTACGAGAATACGTGGTTCATCTTTCAATCTCCGACTGACTTTGCTAAATTGGCCGAGTGTTCGGCGACATCCAGGACCTTGGCGATCTTCAGAATCATCTCCCTTATAACGGCCATCTTTCTGACGCTTTTAATCGGTACGCGGATCAAGCCCCGTCTGTAATTATAACGTATTTTGCCGCGCCACTAGTTGCCCGGGTCTTCTGGGCTGCAAAGCGAAGAGAAAACAGAAATTCTTCCGGACCTGCGACACCAACATGCCATCGGTGGCTCAACGATGTGCGCCTACCTTTCCATCTAAATTCTTTCATTGTTGATGTCGAAAAAACGAAGCCTGCAGTCCGGTGCTCCGTACCGCGCGCCGTCGGATGTTCTATAGTTTAGCCGACATCAAGACAGGGAATGCATGGGGCGAAGCGCTAGGATTGTGGATGAATACTTACAGTGATACGAAATCTGTGAGTTCAATTCTTGGTGCTGATTAGGCCCAGATTTAAGATTATAAATTGATCGTCTCCGTCTTATAAAGTCTAGGTAAGATATCCGCGGTCAAGGCCGGGGTATGAATAATCGCTTGAGAGGACCGATGAAGCCCGGACAGTTCTCACGGTCAAGACTGATGTATGCCGAGGTATAAGAGGCTGTGAGTCCAAAGCCAAAGGTTTTCCAACCGTCATGTCCTCCCTCTTCCAGCCACTTCAACTGGGCAGCGTCACAATCTCAAACAGAATTGGTCGAGTATCTG